AGGGGTGATGTGAGAGGGGTGGGGCGATGGGGGCGAGGGACTGCAGCCCCCTTGTGACCCCAGCGTGTCCCTGCAGGGGGCGGGACGATGCCCCTGGAGGTGTCTTGGCCCTTTCCACCGGCCCCGCGGCTGCCCTGGACCCTGGCCAGTCGCTTGATCACCGGCCTGGTGGGCACCTACAGCTGCTTCTGGACAAGTGAGTGCTGGGTCCCCCCCAGACCCACACACTGACCCCCCACCCTGAGCTTCCTCCGCCTTGCACCCCCTCCACCCCAGGACCCCCCATCCTGCATCCCCCCACCCTGAGCTCCCCCCTATCCTGCACCCCCCCGCCCCAGGGTCCCCTGGACCCACACACTGCCCCCCCCCATCTTGAGCCTCCCTGCCCTGCACCTCCCACCGCACCCCCGCCCTGCTTCCCAGACCCATGCACTGCCCCTCTACCCCGAGCTCCCCCCTGCCCTCCACTGTCCTGCTCCTGTGCTCCAATCATCCAGGCCACTGGGGGTGGGGGAGCCCAGCACGGGTCTCCCCTGGCTGCTCCCCCCACATCTAAGTTGCCCCCCCCTCCCCGCAGGGCGCATGAACCGGCTGCGGGTCCATAACAAGGAGGTTCTGTACGATTTGGTCGAGCGGCGCCAGCCCGGCACCCCCCTCATCACCGTGTCCAACCACCAGTCCTGCATGGATGACCCCCACCTCTGGGGTAGGTGCTGCGTGCAGGGGGCCCCATCTCTGGGGGGACCCCTGGAGAGTGTGGCTGGGGGGGGGGGCAGAGCCACTTTTGTCAGGGGAGGGGGGCTGGTTCTCAGTGTTATTTCTGCTCCCCCCGGAGAGAACAGACCCCTCCCCCACATCAGTTATCTCCCCTGGGTGGGGGGGTCTGGCGGAGATTCCCCCAGTAATTGTTCTCTCCTGCCCCCAATTTCCAGGTATATTGAAGCTTCGGCACGTCTGGAACGTGAAGAAGATGCGCTGGTGAGTGGGGGGCTGTATGAGGGGAGTTTGTGGGGAACCCCTCCCCATCAATTGTCCCCATAACCTCCCTGAAGGGGCCCTCACCCACTACATCAGGGGGCCCACATTGTGCTGGAGGGTCCGAGGCAGGCTGGCCTACAGGGGTTCCCCACCCCGCTGCCCTCTGTCCAGTGGGGGAGGGGCCAGCAGTGCTGCGGGGGGATTGTGGTTCTCCCCCCCCCCCCCATTTATATGTTATCTGCTCCCCTCTCAGGACCCCCACGGCCGCTGACATCTGCTTCACCAGAGAGTTGCACTCGCGCTTCTTCAGCCTGGGTCAGTGCGTCCCCGTGTGCCGAGGTGAGGGTGGCAGGCGGAGGGGCTGGCCTGGGGGGGCACATGGGGCCGGGCCCGGGGAGTTGGGAGATACATGTGGGAGAGGGGACTGGGGGGGAGGGATAGCTCAGTGGTTTGAGCATTGGCCTGTTAAACCCAGGGTTATGAGCTCAATCCTTGAGGGGGCCACTGGGGGATCTGGGGCAAAATCAGTACTTGGTCCTGCTAGTGAAGGCAGGGGGCTGGACTCGAAGACCTTTCAAGGTCCCTTCCAGTTCTAGGAGATAGGATATCTCCATTAATGTAAAGCAACAGAGGGTCCTGTGGCACCTTTGAGACTAACAGAAGTATTGGGAGCATAAGCTTTCGTGGGTAAGAACCTCACTTCTTCAGATGCAAGACTTGCATCTGAAGAAGTGAGATTCTTACCCAC